GGGAAGGCTGGTCCATGAGTTAATTGTCTGCTTTATTTTATTTGTATTAAAACTATTGCAGCCCTTTAAGTCAGTTTGTCATGTTAAAATGCAATAAAAATCTATGCAATTATGAGGTAGCAAATATAAATGAAATGGTAGCAATAAAATTGGTGTAATTTAAGAGACAGGATGTAAATAAATCACAGTATTAAACATTTATCTTCAGAAGCCTGAATTACCAGTTTGTACCTTATCAGTCAAAGAACATTAGGTTAAATAAACCCTTAGAACTAGAATCCAAGTCATTGTCATTCTCTCTAAGAAAAGCAGGGGGGGCATTAATATGTTGTATGTATGTGTGTGTTTGTTTTGTTAGAGTCCGATGATCAAAATTACAGAGTGGAAGCTGTCCATGCGCTGGTTCACAAACTGCCAGAGAAAAACCGAGAGATGCTGGACATCCTAATCAAGCACTTAGTCAAGTAATAATTATATTCTGTTTCGATTGTCCACAATCATGAGGGCTGAAGGAGCAAAGTGTGTGCCTTCTTCCCCACCCTCCCGTTTTCTAACTGCTTTGCCCCGAAGACATGAAATGACTTTGGTAAATGATATTACACTTTCTAAAGCTGTGAGCAAGGAATTGACAGCTGCAAATTATTTCTTACTGAAGCCCTGGAGGTTCTTAATATTAACCCGTTCATTATAATTGTCCTTTGTCCTTGTTTCTGCCAGAGAATAATTCTCTGGAAGGGAAGTCCAGGGCTTTGATTGGTTCCTCAGAATTTCTGTTTTCTGCTGTTTCTATCTAGAATTACCTGTAATGGCTTGCACAGCCTTAGGCTGACCTTGTGGAGGTTGGGACTTATTTTCACTATGCAAGTTGATCCTTGTTTGTACATTTATGGATCATTTTGGTTTTTGTTTTCAATCAGGTAGGGCAAGTGTATAAAAATCTCTTTGGGAAAATAGATCAGATTGTTGTGTGGGACAGTTGGTAGAATGGGACATATAAGGAAGGCTGAGTGGTTTTACTCTAAATCATTCTGGGTGGTTCCACTGGCAAATAATTTCATTCATGTGTGTGGCTCATTCACATAAACGTATTCATTGCCAAATACTTGTAGGAACAAAAATCCTGTTCAAGCACTCCTGTTGTAGGCTTGTTAAATATGTGAGGAAGGCAGTGTGCTAGTTCCATCCAATCTGTTGTTGATTTCAGGGCCCCCTCCCTGTTCAGATTGACTGTAGGAAGAGGAGATCCTCCTCTATCCAAAGGGATTCCTGATATGATCTGGAATACTGGATCATCAGCATTTTGGATCACATGGAGACCCCCTGCAGATAGATAAGACTATCTTCTTCGCAGTGAGGATGGCCCTATAGGGAAGACTGGCTGTCTTGTTCCCTGCACTGCGCATATAACACACAGGAGGAATGCCTGAGAAGGAATATCTGATGGATTTAGGTGAATTTATGCAACTTATCAAGGCCCAGTTCACATGTGGTGCTCAGACATGATTTCTTATACATGGTTTTTTTTTTGCGGGGGGGGTTGCATATGTGCTCGCTGGCAGCAAAATATATGAAATGTCTCACTGAAAGGCGCATGTCAGCTGGTTCCGAGCAAACAGCAGTAAATGACACAAAATGCAGGGGCATACACACTTTTTCATGGACCCATAGAGTTTATTGATTTTATAAAATAGATTTTATAAAGGTTCTATTTAGAAATAGATAGATTTAAAAGCATAGGTTTTATAATATCTATAATTCCATAACTGAAAATCAGTAATGTTGTATGTGTGAAAAATACAGAAATTGTATGCTAAATACATAGAGAATACATCTGCTGCTTTATTCTGAGGATTTTACTTGATTGTAGAAGCTCTGTGTGCTTACTGCTGCATCTCAATTTAAGGAGGAAGCAGAAGAATCAATCCATCACTCACACCTTTGTAATGAACAGGGACTGCAGTCTATAAATTAGAGATATCCAAAATTTCACATAGACCATCACATAGTAAAGATAGACTTTAAGGAGATAGCAATTTTGCTTTTTATTGTCCTCTTTCAATACCCTATTACTTCAGTCTATGCTTATTCATTACCCTGAGTGGAAGGAAGAATCGAAAATTGGTTATTTTAAAAGTTCCTTCTTATTAGCTTTCTGAAAAAGCAATTTTTCAAGCCTTCTAAAAGAACCTGGACCTTTGAAACTGTTTCCAAATTTGTGCCTGTTCGTTGGTTAGCAGGAGAATATCAAACTCAGTTTTATGTTTTCTTATCTAAAAGATTCAATTTGTCACCAAGGCAACCTCAGTAATATAATATTCCTAATTGGGAATAATGAATTCTAATGATAAGGAAACACAGGTATTCTTACCTGTGATTGGACTTCCCTCTTCAAAATTCCTTTTTCTATAAAGAACTGAAAATCGTAATACCAACCTCTAGTTACATGCAAAGCCATCTGCCTTGGATAAAATGAGGCAATGAAGTGTTATGATTTTTTGAGCATATTTCAGAATATCTATTTCCACAGTTACAGATGACAATACTGTTGCCAAAAACGGCAGCCTGTCATTCTCTGTAACATTTGGTACAACTTACTCTTCATCTGGATGTCATTATATTGTATACTTCCCTACTCCCTTCTCAGCAGCCAGTATTACAGAGCAAAGAAGGAAAACATATAGCAGAACATTGTTATGGCACTCTGAAGAAGCTGGGAAGGGCAAAAATCATTTAGTCAAATTCTATCCTGCCTTTCCATTTGTTGAATCCACTGGTAGATCATGGTCAAGTTTAATTTTTAAAACTCCAAATTAGAAAAGGGTACTATAAACCCTGAAGCAAGCAACTCAGAGAAGCATCATGCCAATTAAAACTGATGTCAAAAATGGGAAAATAGGAGAATCTCTTCCCTGGTGCCTAAAATATATTCCAAAGATATCCAGTGAAGCTCCCTAGGAAGGAAGGTCCAAACTGAGAAGCAACGTTTGAAAAGGCCTTTCTCTAATACCCACCTCCCTAACATGAAATGACGTGAAATCCCAGAAACTTGTCTCAAATGTTAGGAAGTCCTTCTTTGGAGTTGGCATCATTTGTTTTGAATCTCCTGGTTTTTGCAATATGTGCTTCCAGATCACTTGACATCTTTCTGTTGCAAACCCTTTTTAAATAGAAAATCTCAAGAAGTGTTCTCAGCTGGCTGCCATCATATAAACTGATACGTTTGTATCAGTTTATTCTTTATTCATTTGCTCACATATGCTTCAATCTAAAGGGAACATTGGACTGTCCCATCTGAAACGAACATGGTACATTTGAATGATATTATTTATTCACCAGGTAGTGTGGCCAGCAGTGATAACAGAAGTTGTCATCCCAAACATCTGGAGGGCACCAGCTTAGGAAAGGCTGCTCCACATGTTAACATAACATTTGCTGAAAACAGCATTCACTCTTGCATGTCATAATATGCCATGGCATTTTTGGTGGTGGTGAAAACCATAGCGGAAAGCCTGCTGAGAGGTCCCAGCAGTGAGAGCTTTGTTGAAGAAACCAAACTGAGATAAATGTTTCAGATAATTACTGTGTGGAATCACATTTGCCAATCTCAGGCACAGGGGCCTCACAGCTCCAAGCAGTTGTTGGTTGCCAAGCAGGTACAGAGCTGATTATGAGAAGGAAACAGCCTTGGTTGCCTTGGATGATGACCTTCTCTGAAGCATGGACTGGGAAAATGTTCTTTGGTATCAGCCTTAATCAAAACAAATCATAATTCTCCAGGTCAGTGACATGCAGTGACATGTTTTTTACAAAGGCAATAAAAAGCAAATTTATCAAAATAGGTTGCAGACTAGGTCCCTGTTCAAAATGTGTAGAGCACAAATAAAATAAAAACAATTAAAATAAAAACAAAAGAAATAAAAATATCACAACAGCAAAACCTATTTTTAAAGTTCTGGCAATGAATGCTCTTTGCCCCAGGAGTAAATGGATTCCATCTTTCTGGGCTATATCAACAAACCAAAGCTGCAGATGGTTTCTTAAAACATAAGGGGATGAATGGACAAACAAACAATAAAATATGCTTCTGTTAAATTGTTTTCTTGAACTGAAAGCTCACGTGTGATGTCTAACATCCTTTCTCATTTTTAATTGTTTGGTTTTCAGGGTGTCATTACATAGTCAACAAAATCTCATGACTATTTCCAACCTTGGAGTTATTTTTGGTCCCACACTGATGAGAGCCCAGGAGGAAACTGTGGCTGCTATGATGAACATCAAATTTCAGAATATTGTGGTTGAGATTCTCATTGAGCATTATGAAAAGGTGGGACAGTAGAATCTGGTAGATCTTTTCAAACATCACATGCTTCTATTTAAAAAATGACCAGATTCCTAAGGCAGATATTTCGCATTGCGCAGCTCTTCAGCTTTTCTTCCATTATGTCTTTCATCCTTTATTGTCCATGATAAGAAAAAGAGAAGTGGTAGGCAAACACAGGGGAGTTACAAGTGGAAGATAACATTGTCTGGGCCCCATGTACAATTCTGTGGATGAGGCAGGAAAAGCCTCACCTGGGGCTATCTCCTTGATAATGGAAAGTATTTCAGTTATTCCTCAGTACTTACTCAGGCCCACATTATGTTGATAATTACATATTTACACTGGAACAGCAGCTGCATGTGAATAATGGCTGGCCATTGCCCTTCAGTAAGTATTAATCCACATCTCACAGGGCTTTCACATTTCCTGTCCCTGCTGCAGTCCAGGATATTAAACATTGTTCGCTTTTGCCAGTTGAAATAATAGCTAGAAATGGAAACCCATTAGCACTGTAGTAAACAAAAAGGAATATTATTATTATCATTATTTGGGATTAGCAACCGCTTCTGCAGTCTTCATCATGAACAAAGAAAAAGTAATAAAAATGGAAGGCCATATGGAAGTCCATAATTACTATTCACCCTACAAGCAATGTTCCCTCTTTCAAAGTGTTTAAATGTCTCCTAAATAAAAGTCTTTCTCTGGCTTACCACAACTGGATTGAATTATATTTGTCTATAATATACAGTGAATGTGATTACCTTACTAATCCTTGATTATCTTTCATATTTATTATAAACTTGTTTTGAGGGAGTAGTACAGCTAAAAGTACAATAAGTCTCAACTTCAAAATATATTTAAAAAGTAAAAAATTCATAAATTTATCTTCCTGTTTTCCATTATATTGTTGAAAAAAACATTAAACTATGCCTCAAGGGAGCATATTTCCCCAACTTTTCTGGGGTTTTTTTCTCAGGCCTAACCAGGAGTAGGTAAGGAAAGCTTTTCTTATGGAAGTGTCATCTGTTTATTGGAATCAAATGATGCTTGCTTTAAAAAACTTTCCCTGTATAGTTCAAAGTTAAACAAACTTGCCTGCATATTGTGAAACCCTGACAGTGTGTTTTTATTTAAGGCACCTTTGTCAATTCTTGATTTTTTTCATGATCAATGTGTAGTAAATCATAGTTTGAAGATGCATCCAAATTGTCTCAGTCTCCCTGTTTCTGCTTGGACTCTGCTGAATAAGTCATTAGTCTAATTTTAGCAGCCATCTTCAATGTTACGACGGAACACTTTCTGATGATCAACTGTCCTTTGGTTTGTTTATTCGGCAGTAAAATGGGTTTTCTCTTTAGGACAGTTGGGTTAGGTGGTTGGTTAAAACTGGTTAAAAATCCAGTTCCCTAGTTAGTTTCCTATCAGTGTTGAGTTTTGGGATTGAACCTTTAGGTCTTCATCTTGAAACTGTGTTGTCCAGTTCTAGTTTTCCTTTTTCTGTAATTTCCTTCCCTTTATTCTAAAATGAACATAATACAGCCAGGTCCAGTCTGGTGCCTCTCCAGACATAGAATCATAGAATAGTAGAGTTGGAAGAAGCCTACAAAACCATCGCATCCAACACCTGCTCAATGCAGGACTGCAAGTGAAAGCTTCCACAACAATGGCTGTCTGGCTGTGTCTTGAATGCTTCTAGTGCGGGAGAGCCCATGTTGCTGTGCCACCCCATAATCCCATTGGCCATGCTGGCTGGCAGTTGTGACAGTGGCAGAGTAACAAGCATAAAGAGCACCATGACAGGGAAGGCTATTATACTGCATTAATTTAAGAGTATAAGCTATTGCCTGTGAAATTGCTGACTGGCCGTCAGCCAGCCACCCTCTCTTGGCCTCAAAGAAATGTGGTACTCCAACAGATTCTCATAAATATGTACATTTTAAGAGTCCTTGCTTTTAACTGACAGATATTCCACACAGCCCCGGACCCCAACATTCCTCTTCCACAGCCTCAATCCCGGTCAAGCTCAAGACGGACAAGAGCCATCTGCCTCTCCACAGGCTCTCGCAAACCAAGAGGACGGTACACCCCATGCCTAGCAGACCCAGATAGTAAGTGTGGCTTGCTCTAGTAGCAGATCCTTGGTTCTCGTGCTTGATTATTAATTGGTGGTAATCATTGTTTTGCTCTGAGCATAAGGGCTGCCTCTCTGTGGATCTCTTTGTCCATTTATAATGATCAGGTGCCAACTCAGTTTCCTTGCTGCTGGCACTTCAAGTTCTGTAATATAGTTCTTGCATTGTCACCTGAAAGTTTCCAAGCCTTTCCCACCTTTCTTTATCCAGCACTGCCATTTGACTAAGTGGAGACAGAGTTGGTTTTCTTTAGCTAAGTGAAGCAGGTGGGTTCAACCTCAGTCAACCCATCTCTGTGGCAGCAAAATCTACCCTCTCCCATCCCATTGACCATCCAAGCTTGCATGACGAATCACATGGCATAGTGTGATGCATCATTCCACAAGCTGGTGTCTTCCAGGTTCGTTGGAATGAGGACATTAGCCATTGGCAAGCTGGGAACACTGGAAGTGATGGTCCAACACACCTGGACGGTGCTAGGCTGGGGAAGGCTGGTGTGTACCTGTTGTGAGCTAGGTTTCACCACCCTTCACACTTCCAAAACACAGACTGTTATTTGACAAAAGCTCATTATTCTCCAATGCACTTCCTTGTCATGTCAAGCAGAGTTATGATCATGCGACCTCCATCAATATACAGGTAGTAGAAGGACAAGAGGAGGGTAGGTTGGCAGCCTATAGATTCATAGATTCACTTAAAATGGCCTTTGTAATTATGATTATTTTATTGTTTTTAATGAATGACTTTATTTTGGTTGTAGACCGGTAAAGCAGCACAGGAATATTAACATAAATTGGTTGTTTAGTTGAAAAGTTGTGCCCGAGTCTTGGTGACACCATGGACTTTAGCTCTCTTGTACTCCACTGTTTCCTGAAGTTCACCCAAATATGAATGTCTATCTTTTCAGTCCTGCTTTTTTGTAAACTGTTCTGGGAGCCATGTCAGGCTGTTGAATGGTAATAGATAATAAATGGTAGGCATAGCCAACCAAGAATGAGTCTCTGAGTCTGCACAGAACAGTTTGTTGAACTCAATCTAGCAACTACTTCTGAGCATCCTCCTTTTGAGTACCCTGGGCCCCTCCCTCTGGGATGGCCCTTCTGGAGACAGTCAAGCCTCTTCTCTGTCCATTGCCACTCCAGCTGATTTCCTTGTCTCTCCCAACATTGCATCTTGGGATCAAGAGTCGTACCAGGCCCAGCTGGCTGTAGGAATTCTTCTCTCATGCCCCCTCCCTGTAGCTGTAAATTCTGACCTGAACACCCAGGGAGGGTGCCCTTGGGATAAGCCCCTCTCTTTCTCCCATTTCAGCACTTGACAATTCTGGGTCTCAGGGCCCTTCCTCATCTGACAAGTCCAAATCAGCTTGACCTCGGAAAGTGCACCAAAATAACCACCCCTTTCATTACCAGCAGTGATGGCATCATTTCATGATGCAATGAAACTAAGCTGGTCGAGTTCCAATCAGTATCTGGAGAAAGGAAGCCTGTATACCTTGTCTTGAGCGGCATGATGAAAGAAAGACTTAATATAAATGTGATAAATTAAGAAATGATGCCATTCATAAATGATGGGGAAAATGCTAAGTATTTCTCTTCCCCAACTGATATCACATCCAGTAGATCACTGTTGGAAGGCTGAGACCAGGTCCTCCTGTGTGCCTGTAGTAATCATGCTATGTCTGTCCAGATGGATTTGGTGCTGAAGTCATGCAAATTATGTCCAAGGAAAACCTGGAATCTACTACCTGTGTGCTTCATCTGACACCATGGGATACCTCCAACCCATGGCTCACATTACCTTGTATAGCTTACATATAAGTAGACCTACAATCTTGTCCTCTAAAGACAATGTCCAATTCAGGGTAGTAAAAATGTGCCCAAAATTTCAGCCTCATGCCTTTAACAGTTTCTTTCCATGAACCAAAACATGCCTGTGATACAAAATGTGCCAAAAATTTGCATAAGAGAAGCCATTTTGTGTGCTTCTTTATGGCTCCAAATAAAGGACACATTTTGGGGGACCTCTTGCAAGCCAAAAGTTGGAGCAAATCTTCCAGCAGCAAAATCTGGGGGGAAGCCTTTGTGTGCTCATTTAACTTTACAAGATAATCTGCTGTTGCACTGATTGCAGGTCAATAAGCCAAGCATTCTTATTCAGATTTTATTGTTATGCATAGCTGCAGGAAAGAGGAAGTCTTAAATTCATTGTATCCTGGATCCTTTCTTATGCTGATTCAAACTTCCTGGGGGGGGCGGGGAACATTCAGTCAAACAAAGGCCTTTCATATGCAGCAATTGGCTTGCCTGAGGCAGTTTTGTCCATGGCACCAGTATCTCCCCAAGTGCAGGAACATTAGGCTTCATAGTTATTGATGCTGGATTCATCATGTCAGCTCACAGATGCTTCCTGGGTTGGCAGATTCTGCTTCTATTCAACACAAGTGGGAAGGGCTCTGAGCAGATCAGCATGGTTTGGTCTGACCACTGACGGTAGCAGTGAACTCTCCTTTGCCTTTGGAGGCTTAGTTTGGCATGGTTCACACATTCATGTGGTGCGGTGGTTAAGAGCATGGGACTGGGACTCAAACGATCTGGGTTCTAGTCCCCGCTCGGCCATGGAGCCAACTGGGTGACTTTGGGCCAGTCACAGACTCTCAGCCCAACCTGCCTCACAGGGTTGTTGTTGTGGGGATAAGATGGAGGAGGAGAATGATGCAAGCTGCCTTGAGCCCTTTGGGGAAAATAATGAATGAATGAATGTATATGTACAGTATATGTACATATTCATTCATTGTATGAGATGCTGTATAGCCAAGCTTTGTGGAAGATAGAAAAACAAAATAATAATAAAACAAATGATGATGATGATGATGATGATGATGATGATGATGATACAAATGTAATAAAACCAACAGTAAAAACACATTAAACTAATGTCTTTAAAGTTTTGAAAGCAGCAAATGTAATTTACAATTATTTTGAAAGGAACAGCTAAGCCACTACGACATGGAAAAATGTGATTTTGAATAGTTGTATTAACATAAAAACAAGCTGTGTTTTAAAATGTGATGCTTTAGAATTTTTTAAAGCTTATTTTCATAAGAACTTCGTTTACCACAGTTAAACCCTAAAATCTCAGAAGTTCCCCCCCGCCCCCTGCACCCCGAGGCTGGTACCAAATTCTGCGGGTTTTCCTACACTAATGCAGTGTCATGGAAAAAAGCAGAGGGCTGATGAAAAGTAGTGCTCTCCATTTGGACCAGAAGGGCAGGACCTGGTTCTGTCCAGGAGCCAAATCCCAGTCTGGGAAAGGGCTCGGGGTCTGTTCGCCCGCCATGAATGGGGCAAAGGCAAAGTGGTGAATCTGCAGAGCGGATGCTGTCAAAATGTGAGTCTTACCCATTTTAATACCACTTTGACATAAGCAGGACGTGTCAAAATGAGCAGGACTGAATCATTCAGGAACTTCTTCCCCAGACCACACCCACTCCACCTAGCAGTGACCAGCTGGCCAACAGCTGGTTGGAGATAAGAGCTTTTCCCTACAGTATACTGAGAAAGAAAGGAATCTTTCCCTGGTGCCTTTCAGGCAATGAGCAGATTATGTTGTCCACCAAGCAAGAAAACATTATTAGACCCTAAAAAACAGCAACTGCTTTCCTTCTCTCTACCCTGAACTCTTCTACCTTTCAGGTGATTCATACAGTAGCAGTCCAGACAGCACTCCTATGGGCAGCATAGAATCACTTTCATCTCATTCATCAGAACAAAACAGCACCACAAAACCTTCATCCTCTCAACCCAGGGAAAAAGCAGGAGGAGTTCCATGGATTGCCTCATCCCCTTCCTCCAATGGACAAAAGAATTCTGGCCTTTGGACCACAAGTCCTGAATCTTCCTCAAAGGAGGATGCAGCAAAAACAGATGTGGAATCTGACTCTCAGAGTGTCGCCTCTATCACAGAGCCAGAAAATGTCACTCCACCAGCAGACCTGACCAACAGAGGGCTGTACAGTCTCTCTGGAATGAAAAGATCAACAGCTTCATCCACTAGGTCCATCCCTTCTGCAGAAGGTAAGCTCTATATGGTTTACAATTAACAGAAAATACCTGTATATTTAAGAACGGGATAACGAGACACAAATGAAGTGTATCCAAGGGCAGTGTCCAAGACTACCATGTATTCCCATTGTTTGGTTCTGCAAGCAGGACACACTGTTTATGCAACAAAAAACTGGTAGTTCAAAAATGAAACCCTGGAAACAGGTCTGGGTTGGGATAGGCTGGCCTCTGCCTCTTCTACAGTCTTGGGACACGTCACCTGAATTTTTTTCTATGATCTTCTCATATGTGCCCTGTTCTGGAAGCAAGTGTGTCTATTCACAACTGATTGCTTTTTAACTGCAAGTTCTCCTGGTGGGTTCTGCTGCTGAATAGGAAGGCTTCTATGTGATCAGAGATTTGGCTTTCTGGAATGATAGGCCTGATGGGAAACAAGAAGGCCATTTATGAAAAGGTCAACAAGAAGAGTGTGTGGAGCTATGAGGGCCAAATCCTCAATATTCTTCAAAGGGATTAGAACAGAATCAGTGAAGAATAAACAATATTTATAATAATAAAGCAAGTTCATTGTTTCCCAATTAATATTGCAGCTCATAGTTATCCATTCTGATTTCCTTTTATAGAAAGTAAATTTTAATGTCGGGCTGGGCAGGGTTGGATAATAACAGAAATGGCAAAACAACAAAAACTCAGTTAAGCAGGACAGGAAACACACATTTTACGTCACCAAAACCTGCAGTGTTTATAGTTTGTTTTCATTGTATGACTCATATCTGGATTTCAGGTAAGGGGATTCAGAAATGTTGGTCAACATGTTATCTGAAAAAGAAATCTGGTGTTTACATTAGAGAACCTGTTTTCCTCCTGGTGGTGACACTCAGGCTGTTTCAACATTGTGCAGCACTGTTTCAATATTTTGTGATCACAGTCCTCCAATCCTGATTTAGCACTTGGGGGTTTTTAAAATCACACTTACTAATAAGGGTGCTGACACTGCTAAGTTGAAAGGTTTGTTTAAAAGAGAAATGGGTATAATGCTGTTTTGCATCTGCAGTGAGGTAGCCATACCTCGGTAAGCTCTCAGATGAGAGACCTGGGATCCCGTGTTACTGCTCCTTTGCTGCCAGTCAGCTGTGTACGGATGGGGTGGAGGTGTTGATTTGGAGGGTCAGAGCAATGAAAGGCTTATTCCCTCCTTCATGCATTCCGTGCCTCTTCTCAGCCTATTCTTTCCGCTTGTGGCAAAACCCATACTTCAGACTAAGCAATAGGGAGGTAAACGGTTAAGTACCATTCATCCCAATTGCCACTTCCCTCCCCCAAATGCACCCTGCCCCCCCTGTGGCCTCTGGTTTGCTCCAAATGCTTAAGACTGAACTAATAGGTGATAAAAGTGGGTTCATCCTTTGTCATTTAGGTAACAAAAGCCGCAGTGGTTCAGTCCAGAGTTTAGCTTCTCTAGATGCCAAGGATGGAGCAAAGGCCACGGAAAACCCCGACTTGCCTCCAAAGCGGTGCAGAGGACTGCAGTTTGACGCAACATCAAGCAATGGCTATCAGAGACCAGGGTCTGTGTAAGTTGGGTCAGGGCTTTTTTGTCTCAGTGCTTGAGCATTTGAGTTCTTTGCATTCAGAAGAACACATGTAACCCTTTCATGACTTCATATCCTCCAGGGTAGCAGCAAGGGCCCAGCTGTTTGAAAGTGCTTGCTCAGTGAAACAGGCTCCCTTGGGAAGGTAAGCTGCGTTTCACAATATTATATTCATTCCATATTCCACCTGGATATTTTGGGTGCTGTGCATGGGAGCCAGTGGGGTGTAGTGGTTAAGTGTGCTGGGCTGGGACTCAGGAGATCTGGGGTCTAGTTTCCACTTGGCCATGGAGTGCACTCGGTGACCTCAGGCTAGTCACAGACTCTTGGGGCTGCTGTTGAGAGGATAAGATTGAGAGAAGGCGGGGAATTATGTAAGCTGCCTTGAGCTCTTTGGAGGAAAATGGTGGGGCCACAAGGATGGTGGCTGCTTTGGAGGGTAAGCCATATGAGGAGAGACTGAGGGAGCTGGGTCTCTTCAGCCTGGGGAGGAGGAGACTCAGAGGGGACCTGTTAGCAATATATAGGTATGTGAGGGGATGCTACGCAGAGGTGGGTCATGACCATTTTTCCCCTGCAGTGGAGGGCAGGATGCATTCCAGTGGAGCAAAGCTCAGGGAACCAAGATTTAGGGTGGATGCCAGGAAGTACTTCCTCATGGTTAGGACCCCAGGGGTATGGAATGGGCTTCCACAGGAGGTGCTTGAGATCCCATCAGTGAGGGTGTTTAAGGATAGGCTGGACATGCACATGGTAGGCATGTCATGAGTAGATCCGACTGGAGCTGGGGGTCAGACTAGATGGCTCAGGAGGCTCCTTCTGACTCACTGTGTTTCTGTGTTTCCACTATACATACATAGATGCATATATTTGGGAGGACTAGGAACTAAAATATAAAACACATTTCGACTCGACATAGTGATGAGACAAATAGTGGTGTTAGTAAATAAACCAGGAATAGTAACAGAGGGAATTTGAACTGCAGAGTTGGAAAAGACTCCCCTCACTTCAAACTCAGCCCAGCCACACACACCCCAAATTCAGGTTGCCTGCAGTCAGCCCTGTCTGCCAACTCCCTGACCTTTTCTCAAGGGGAAGAAAAGCTTACCTTCAAAAGGCTGATGGACTAACCTGTCATGGGAGGGATCACTTGGGATAAGAAAGGACTTCCTAGAAATCTCTCAGTTTGCCTGAACAAGTTGGATTGCAGTTCCTCTGTATGTCCACCAGTATTTTAGAATGTGCTTTGCAGCCAGAACACAGGCCAAGTTTCTCTAGATGTGTAATCTCCTTTCATCCACTATAACAGCATAGACAGATAGAAGCTGGTCTGGCTTCTAGGAGGAAGACTATGTCGATTATCAGAAAACAGAAAGCTTGTGTTTGGGGGAGGGAGAGTATTGCCCTATTTAAGCCTTTTGTGGATTATAGGACATGGAGGAAGCCATGGGCTGACTGGCTGGAATCATGGACATAACCATTCTAGTTGGGTTACACTAGTCCCGCATTTATTTATTATTCATTTTTTATACCACACCTTTCCTTTAAGGAGTACAGGACAGCAGGTGCTGATCTTTCGCCATCTTTTTGTCCACACAACAGAACCTGTGAGGCCAGTTAGTCTTGGAGTGCCCAAGCTTACCTGTGGATACCCATATATTTGCAGAAACCTTTCTGTACATACACAAGTCTCATTTTCTCTCCCTTTTCATTATCTTTCTTAAGATGTTTATAATAAAATTAGGTGGCAGACAGGCATGCTGTACAATAAAGCGCTGCTCTGTGGTTCCATTCTTTTGGCTTCAAAAGACTGTTTGTTTCAGATCTCAGACTTAAATCATTTTTAAATAAATTTTATTGTTTTCACTACAATCTAACTTTAAAAACAACGATTATTTAAGACCTCAGATATACTGGGTTAACATCTTCCTCATTTTAACAGTCAATAGTCATATTCAAATCCACATATAGTCCCATTTCTCCAGCTGATAATAGAACGAATTCCAAGTTTGGTAGAAAAACAAACCTATTATTGAGTATTTGGGCAGGTTACTTTTCTTGTAGTCTCACCTGTTGGCCTTCTCGGAAATGGGTACTTTGGGACCAGCTAGATTCACCATTTATGAATGGGCAGATCCCCTCCCTCAACAACCATTTTGTGGAAGCACTCATGCATTATTTCAAAATTATAAATGAGACCACGAGCCCAAAATGTCTGGGGACCCCTGCTTAACCAGTGCACCAAAGTGGAAGAAAAAGACATGAGCTAACTTTGTATCATAGACCTCCTCCCTTCTTCCCACCTTCCGCCCCATTTGTCCTTTCATATCACATTTTACAGTTCCCCACTCAGGCTCTTGTTCCATCTCAGTACATGTCAGGAAAGAACCAGACAAAAGGGACATGTAGCTTTTTCTGCTGATAAAGCAGGCAAGGTTGGCAAGGTTAACGGATTTTCCTGCTTCGTCTTTGCAGAAGTGCTGGATGGTAACAATGAGTAGAATTAGGGTGAATGAGAAGCCAGCAAAAAATAAGAAAAGAAGCCAGAAATCTTCCTCTGGAGTTTTCCTCTTGCAGCAAGGAAACACTCAGACACGACCATGCAAATGTGCACTGTTCTGAGCCAACTTTGTCTTTAGGCCACTTGCAAATATCTGCAAACGCACATCATCTAATTCACTCTGTAGTTTTCATGTTAATCTTTAAAAGGTGTGCATTTTCAACAGCCTTAAGGAAATTGTTCTTTAATTTTTGGAGCTCCTGCTGTTTTGACAACTGAACCGTACTTCATTGAATGTTAAACTCCCCTTCTTGGAAATGGAAAAGGGGAAAGTGACAAACAGTGTAGAACTTAATAATGTTTGCTGCTGTTTCTTTCACTTTCATATCTTGCCTCACTTCCATTTTTTTCCATTTTGAAGGGAGACCTTTCATTTTCAGAATCTCAGAGTGTACGCTCTGACACCCTATCATGTGATTGTCTAGGTGGAGTGGATTTGGTAAAGGGTTTGAATCCCCCACTCAGCTACTAAGTTAATAGGGCAACCATCAGCTAGCCCAAATCAGACTTACCTGACTGGGTAGTTTCTTTATGTCTGTATATCTTGCTTAAGCCTAGTTTGGATCCAAGCATACAATTAAAAGAGAAATGAAGGGACAATATAATTATGTTGATGTGTGCTAAGTGACAATTCTAGTCCCTGCCACTGGACTAGATGCTCCAGTTTCTAAGCGCTTTCCTCCCTAGGAAGAGTGCAGAATGGCATTAAGATGGACTTAGGGTGCAGTCCTATGCATCTTTACTCTGCAACAAACCCTACAAGTCCCAGCTTTCCCCAGCCAGCCTTGTCTAAGCATACATAGAATTATACCCTTAGTGGATCATAGATGCGGTCCATCAGAAGAACCTCTTCCATACAGTGCTCAAGAGGCTAAAATGGAGGAAAACCTAATAAACTCCTTGCAGATTTTCTTGGATAAATTCTGGGACCCACATGTGCACATGGGTATTTATTTAAATAAATGCATGTTTATTTAAATAAATACCCATTTATTTATTTATTTAAATACATACATGTTTAAAGTATGGATGGTTTCTTTAGTATTTCAGTGTCTTGATTCTATTTCCATTACTGAAGCAGTAGAAAAGAGGAAGAAGTTGTGGAGGGAGAGTAAAAAAAAATTCTGCCTGCAAACCTGAAGGCCAGTAGTCCTTATTAACCAGGTACAGAAAACACATTCGCTTCTTAGAAATATAGATGCCATTTTAAATAACCCTCTTCTAGAAGGTTTAAATTAGTAGTTTATTCAAAAGAAAATGAGGACCTTTTTAAGCACCATGTACTGGCTGGCAATGTTATTTTCATACCCTCTTTTGCCGGCTGAATTGAATGAATGGGAGTATTATACTTAGAAAATGCACGTGGTAAGTTCTTACCTTGGAACATTAGCTCTCTTTATAAAAGGGCAGTTAGCATTGGGAAGAAAATGGCATCTTGTTCTAAAAGTTTGGGAAATGGAAGAAAACTGGTAAAACAATCGACTGAAAAACAGGCCAGAGGTAAAAGAAGCACCATTTGCTTAATTGGTGATGGACGTGTTTGCTGCCTTCAGGTACACTGCCAAAGCACTAACCACAAATTAGACTCCAGACCCTAAATTGCCAAAGCACTAACCACAAATTAGACTCCAATTTAGACTCCAAGCATCAGATATAAAAGCAATATCTAGTCCGTGTGGGGTCCTGCCTCTCCTGCATGCTCTTCTAAGCTGCCTGCCATTGCAAGAAAGGTTGGTAGATTGTGGTGACATGGACTAGACTTTTTATCATTGACTTCCCACAGAAAAGGGCTGGGGAAGTCAATTTGCACTGCAAGCTTTGTTGCAAAATAAGAAGCAGAAGGACAAGGAGAATTAAGCTGTCCCATTAGACCATCACAATCATTTGTTTTTATTTGGAGAACTGCTTAGTGAAGGCTCCTACCATAAGAAGAGGGTAGATGAAGCCAAGTACTGAGGACCTGGATACTGGAGCAAGGCTTTAAAAAAAATGTTGAGCCTATCACGAGGGTGGGCTGTGAGGCACCAGTTGGCCTCTAATTCTGGAAGCAAAACTCCTCGGCCCAGGAGGAAGGAGTACTTTCTGAAACCACTAGTGAGCACATTCTAGGCATTGGAGATCTGTTTTCCACCTATCCTCCTTTCTTTACCCAGAATATTGTCAACATTGTGCAAATGAGGTGTCATTAATTCAAACATCACCATAAAACAGGGATTGACCTTTCAAATGGTGGTTTGGCTGAGAAGCCATTGCTCCTTTTGTGAAGTAGGAGGGGAGAGGGAGGAGAAAACTGCTTGGTGACAACTGAGGCTTTACAACTGAGTCCCCAAACGTTTTGTACCTGTGGGTACATTTGGAAATGTGGGAAACTTCTGTGGGTGCCACCACAAAATGGCTTCTGTGTAGGAAAATGGCTGCCATGAGAGACAGAATATTCTAATACGAGCTCAGGAGGAAGAGGGAATAGTGAGGCCAGAGGCTGGGAAGGTAAGAAAAATAGTGAAGCTACAGGCTGAGAACGAGGGGGATAGTAAGGCAAAGGGCAAAGTGAGAGACCTGGTGGAGGAGAAACAGTGGCATGTGCTGGGCTAGGCTAGGAGCTGGGACAGGAGCAGGAAAGGCAAGCCCCTTGTAGAGGAGAGAGAAAGCAAGGCCCAAGGCAGAGTGGTGGGGAGAAACAGATAAAGAGGTGGGAAGAGAAATAGCTAAGCTAGAGCTTGAGGAGAAAAGGAAGGCAAGGTAGAAGAAGGGAGATATTACAGGCTGGGAGCAGGTGAACCATCAAGGCAAGGAGGAAAGGAGACAGAAAGAGCAAGGCAAGAAAGGGAGAGAAAGAAGACCAACGCTGTTCACGGTTGTTACTGGACCTTCTTTCAAAGTGCTTGAAAATGCAGAACATGGTGGACATCACTGAAGGTGCCTGCAGGTATCAGGTTAGGGGACATTTCCTTGTCGTCCTCTCTGAATTTTCCAAAGGAAAGAAGCATTATATCAGTTAAAAACAGACAAAAGGTATGAATTAGCCAAGGTGGCCTGGGGAGCTTTATGGCCGAATGGGCCTTCAGTGTAGGGCAGCTAAAATGTGTTACTGCTCGACTGTGAAAATCATAGTAGCAAAGTACTTGAAAGTATTTTGAAAACCTCAAAATAAAATGCTGGAAGCCAGATCAATAGTCAGTCATGAATGAGCTGATTCCTTCTACTGGATGTCTGCGTAGCCAAATAAAATCACATTGCTCAGAAAATAGTTGTTCCATTTGTTTTTAATATGTTGCTTTATATCCGATGTTTATGTGAACTGCCTTTAGGTGGTTTGGTTTGTTAGCATCAAAAAGAGGAATACTGGCTTTTCTATTCCAATGTCAAAATAAGTAGTTCAGAATGAAAACAAGGTGGTGGAAAACTGGGAACGGGTGCAGAAATGCTCTTAGGATGAAAATCGAATTCCATGTGGAAGTCCCCAGAGACCACATTTCAGTGGTGTGTAGGACTGAAGACAAAAAGGAGCGAGGCCAAAATGCCAGTACATTGTAGCTTAAAGGTCATAGTGCCAGTAACTATTCCTTAGCGGTGGCATTTCAGCTTTTCAGAAGGGGGACTGCACTGGGGCTAAAAAGTGGCTGAACAGTTAGTTGGTGGTTGAAGGAAAGGAGTGCCCCAGGAAAGGGGTCTGTTCGGGGAGCCCTGGAGGGCCGTCTTTGTTGCTGGGGCTGGTTTAACGTGAATCAGGATTTAGCATCCGAGCCGGCTTAACTCCAGTGGGCACAGAACACTTGTGTGCCAAAGGGCATGGGGTGCTCTCTTCTGGCACATGAAGTGTTTCTCTTGCATACTTTATTCACAGAACACCTTTTTCAGTGTATCACATCATCCGTCCTTTTTATCAGTGGTAACACAAGCTGTCCTTTTCTCAGGCAAGCCAAGGCCATGTATTCCTGTAAGGCGGAGCATAGTCACGAACTCTCCTTCCCGCAGGGAGCGATATTTTCCAATGGTAAGAGGCGGTAAATTGCCATTATTTTATCATGACTGCCTTGTGATAGTCAGAGCAATGATAAACTCGTTCATGTTTAAGCTGCCACACAACTCCTAGCTACATCTGTATTTTATCATATTCTCGTGTTAATGGTAGTAAGTGTGCGTATAAAATCCATGCACCCTCATTCACACACAATTCTCTCTCTGTGTGTGTGTGTGATATATTTCTCTGAGAATGCACAAACATGCCTTTATGCAAACATTAAACAGTATCCAAAAGAGTTTGCAATACCAGGGGAAAGTAATGCATGTTCTCTCTTTCTTTTAACAGTATATCCATCGGTGGAGCCAGGATGGCTAAAAGCAACATATGAAGGCAAAACAGGACTTGTTCCAGAGAATTATGTTGTCTTTCTCTAGGGATAGTTAATGGACAGCAGCATCTTCATGGTATCCATGGTAACAAGCAAGAAGCACTGTGATTTTTTTTATCTGACACGGATGGAGGGGGGGTCTGCCAGGTAGTCGTGTGTGGTAGATTTCCTTCGACTTCTGCAGCTGCAGATCTCTGTCTTCTTATGAGTGGAACAGAATCTAATGAAAATAGTCAACAGGGTTTGGTTTTCTAAATCTTTCTGTGTTTTGAAATGGAAAATGGTACTCTTTCGGTCATTTCACTGCTGGTAACGAGAAATTCATTTTAACCATCAAATCAAATATGCTGAAAATAAGACACTCAAAATGAGAGCTTGGCAAACCTGTGTTGTTGTTCTCAGGCGAGCCATTGATTCTCAATGGGTCCCAGTCATTTCAAATCAGTCCTTGATGTCAATGTTCAATGAATGAGAATTGTTCACTGACATAACAGATTTCAACTACAATTTCATTGTAGCCGTGTCATTTATAGGCAGCAAATGCAAATATTTGAACACCAATTAATCAAAGTATGATTTTTGTTTTAAAAGGCATTTTAATGCAATATGTGTGTGTTGGTTTTCTGCTTTACCACTTTGTGTCTTATCCATATAATTATGAATAATTAATAATTTATATTTATAGTATCCAAATTGTTAAATTGTAATCCTACATAAGAATCCCCAATAAGATACAGCTTTTTATTTGTTTCATGTGTTACCTTGGATCCATCAAAATGGAAGAAGCAAGTCTCAAGCTGAATAAATAAGTACAAATAAAATAGTAGGATCCTGACGTCTGAATGATCCAAGTGGTGAATGAAGCAAGAAGTTAGAATAATCTGTGCTTTAACTAAAATCCATTATATCTCTACCACTGGTTTGGCATGTGCACTAGTCCAGATCTTGAATTGTGAGTTGCTCCAAAGGGATTCCTTCAGCCTGGGAGAATGGGCATCAAAATGGAAAATGCAGTTCAGTGTAAACAAGTGTAATGTAATGTTCATTGCAGCAAAACAATCCCAATTTCAAGTGTAATTTGATGGGATCTAAGGTAGCATTGACTGATCGAGAGAGAGATTTAGCACAGCTCCATGAAAATGCCAGTCCAGTGTGCAGCTTATATGAACAAACCCAACCCCTGTTGGGCATAATTAGGAAATGGAATGAAAATAAAACTGGCTTTATACAAATTGATGGTGCAACCACACTTGGAATGCTGGGTACAATTCTGATCACTAAACCTAAAATAGCATTTTGTAAGGTCTGGAAAAATGCAAAAAAAGGCGGGGGCAAGTGAAATGATCAAAGCATTGAAGCAGCACCCAATGAGGAAAAGTTACGTCTGGGACTGCAGCAGGAGAGCAAGGCGAGACGGGATAACAATGTACAAAATTATGCCGATGTGGAGAAAGTGGAGAGGGAGACGTTTTTCTCTTGTCTTTCATACACTAGAACCCAAAGGGCTTATTCCCTAAAGTGGATTGGTGGGAGATCCAGACAGATGAAAGGAGGAATGTCCTCACACAGTGCATACCTAAACGAACAGTGGAATCCACTTTCTCATGATGTAGTGATATCCACCTGTTCGGAGGGTTTTAAAAGGGAGCTGGACAAACACAGGAAGCAGAAAGCTATTGATGGCTACTAGACCCAATGGCAAGACATGGCTCCAGGATGAGAGGCAGTATGGCGGAGTGGCATGGGCAGAAGGGTGGCGCTGCCCCACAGCCCACTTGGGTGTTCTTGTGGGAGAGCTGGCTGGTCACTGTGTGAATGCCAGACTAAGTGGGGCCTGGGTCCGATCCAGCATGGCTCTTCCTATGCTCTCACTGTATATCTCCTGGACAGTTCATGGAGAGGCTCTTTTCACATGTGCAACGCTTCAAAAACACCATTCAGTTCCATGTGTGGATCAGGTCTCTGAATCAAAGCATCCGACCTCCATGTGTGTGGCTTATACTATCTCAAAAAGCACTGTACTTGAGCACTTGTAGAGTTCTGTGAAAGATGCATGAATGGTTTAGCTTTCAAAACATTTGCTATATATGCACATGACCTGATCTTAAGAACATAAGAAAAGCCTTACTGGATCAAACCAAAGGTCCATCCAGTCTAGCAGTTCTTACACATGATGGCAATTAGGGTAGGACTAAATGATGTTGAGGGTAGGACTAAATCCTGGCCATTTTCCTGTACACTGAATAAGAAGCATGACTGTCATTCAACGAGATACAGGCCCAGCTGTTGGGGTGGGTTGATGAACTGCATCTAAAGCTTGGACCTAGCTAGGGATATGAGCAAAAGAAACTTCTCTGTGCATCTGTCTTGTATTTGGATGGGAAAATGACATTTTTTCAAAATATAACTCATATCCCTGTGAATTGATTTTGATTTTGGTTAAAATAATGACACAGATTATAATGGCTCCTTTTCTAAGGGAAGAGTCAGCCAAAAAATGTTTTTGAAAATATTTCCTGCTAATGGATAAAAACAAAGGTAGAACATAATGATGTTCTGTATGTAGCAGCATTTCATAGTTTATATAATTCAAATATATGATACTTTTTATTCCCTGTCGCAATGGTTGGTTCTCTTGGAAGGGAGAGAAATCCTTTGGGTTAAAATTACAACTCCTGAGGCACCAACTTGGCAGGTTGCTTATTTGTGGATTCTATTTAAATTAATCATTCTTTTTGCAGGTACTAGACTTGATATAATATTTGGATATGATTTTGCATTTTAATGCTGGGAATCTGTACCCAAGAATACCACTAAGGTTGCAATCTTGTGCCTGTTTAGACAGAACAAAGTCTTAAAACTCCCAGCGTTCCCCAGCCAGTGGAATTGTTGGCCATTTTTCTTCTCTAAATATGCATAGGATTGTGCTTTAAGTAAAATATATTTAAGAAGTTATTGCAAGTAAATTATAGAACTTTTTGTTTATTTTGTAGTGTGCCTTTTTGTTAATTCTCTGCACTCTGTACATACGTATATGTAAATAATAACCATCATGTAATTCCTGGAACATTTTGCTACTACTATTATCTGTGTCATAATTTTACATTAAGAATATAAGAAGTATTTAAATGAATTAAAAATACCTATTGTCTTTTTGATGTTGCATTCATGTGTTCTATTATTTCATTGCAGAAAACAAGAACTGCTCATAGTTTATTCAGGATGAGACCCTCTCTTTGGACTAACAGGCAGGATGGTTTTGATTCAAATCAAATTGATTTAAATTACTAGTCAGTAAGACTAGATGTAATCGCGATTTTCTACATAATCTGCATGCATGCATGCCTTACCCATAGGTAGAGGAACTTCACTGAAGTATTCCCAAACTGGGCATCTTTTATCACCTGCTGCCCTTATGTTTTCTCCTCCAGGGAAAGAACAATATGATAAACCTCAAAAAGATCCAAAGACTTGTACAGTATTCTTAAAGGTTTCACTTTTATTTTTACTGCTTGCCCCTCCTCCTTACATTTCTTGTGCAGATCTGTTCCACTCCCAACAATCTTCTTCTATACATTGAATTTTTTGAAACTTAGCACTTAAAAAGTAGATTCTGTGTACATAGATTTGCAAAGAAGCAATGGAATTAACTCTGTATAATTATTTTGTAACATTTTTGCTAGAAGAAGAGGCGTATTATCTCTGTAGACACGGCAATTCACAGTTTTGAGAACTGTAAAACCAAGCATCTGCAATAATATCTTCTAGACAAAAAAAATGCCCAGAAACCCCTGGATGAGCATGACTTTGTGAATGAATTAATGGAATTCATTTACCAAAATATATAAAGATGGCATGAATATACAGCCTCATCTTACATAATTAAAAACTAATCCTTATTTCAGTGATGATTAACCTTTTGACTATAGTGTATCTTAAACAGATTTTCCCCCAAAAAAGCATTTTACTAAAAAATCCTATTAGGATCAAAAACATCTGTTCTATTTTTTAATCAGATTTTATTTTTTAATTAGATTTTTATCTACCCTGCTGACCGGTTTTCTCTAATAATTACTAAAGCAGCTTTGCAGGCCCAAACGTTCCAGATCTTAAGACTGCCTCCAGGTCTTAGACTAGCACCAGGTCGAATGTTTTAACATAGAAAGAGATGTTAATGCAAGAGTGCAGACCCTTTTAGCATGAGGGCCAAATTCCATTTTGGAAAAGCTCTCAGGACAGGCAAATGGTGCAAGGCTAAAATAGCAAATATACCAGCATATTTAAGTTACTGTCAATTATGAAACCTTGGGAGAGGCATTTCAGCCTTTGAGACTGGGAAACAATAGCACAAAGCCAGGGAAATCTCCAAGCAATGTACCAGGCAAACAGGCCAGCTCTAAACTTGGACTGTGCTTCTGCACCTCCATGCTAAATGTACACAGGGTCCAGCCCCAGATCATCTGGAACCTTACAGACTCCAAACCAGCCCAGCAATTAATAGGTAGCCAATGCTAAGTCAGAACAAATTAAATGCAGTATAACCAGCAACTTAGACCTGCTGCAAAATAGGTTGCTGTGTTATAGAATCATCAGATCATAGAATGGTAGAGTTGGAAGAGCTCATCAGGTCTAACCCCTGGTCAGTGCAGCGCTCCCAAGTTAAACCAGCCCTCTCAGCTGTCCAGCTTCATCCTGAATGCTTCTGGTGTGGGGGAGCCGCAGCCTCCCTAGACCTTTGGTTCAATTGTCGAACTGCTCTAACTTCCTTCTGAACCTCCTGAAGTTCTCGAATAGGAACTCTGAATAAAGTGCATTCCAATAGTCGCGCTGCAGAGTTATGGAGGAATGAGCCTCATCCCCACAAACAGCCACTGCCGGTTGGGTTGCAGCCATCTACCTAATATAGCTATGACAGAACAAGCCTTTGACAAATTATGGTGAGGTGTTGTCTGGAAGAATTCCCAGAGTGCAAGCCTGCGGGGATATACAAATGTTACAAATGTTATACACTTGGATATACAAATGTTACACACTTGGTTGCTCTCCAGAGGTAATATTATCTATGCCAATTCTACTGATCACCCATGTCCCATCCTAGAATTGCTCTTCAGATCACCAAAGGGAATGCAGAGAAGCCACCAGGACTGACTACCTCAGGCACCTGGCATGATGTCTCTTGTTTTTCCTGCAGCAGCTACCAAAATAAGTAGATCAGCACTTGGATTCTACATGGAATGAATGAAATGAACCCGATTTCACTGCTTTGTTTCACTTCCATATAAGTAGAGGGCTTATTGTGTGGATGATCTATAAACAGGAGTAAAAAAAATACAAATGCTTTGAGTTGCTTTGTAGCTCATTCAAGGAACTAAGGAGAGGAATGCATACAGAATTTCCCCCCCAAAATAAAACAAATTAGTCACACCAGTTACTTTTCAGCCTTATTTGGAGGACCAGCATCGGCTGTACTGATAACATACTGTAGAATGTAGCACTTGGAAGGGTTTCTTTTAAGAAAATCTAGAATATTTGGTTGAGTGAAAGGCTGCATAACACCAAGGCTACAAGTATTAAATTATTACCTTTGGTTGAGATGAAGATTAAACCTGCTGATGCTGAAAGCAGACAACGTAACAGCTGTAGCTGTGTTACAGTGGGTGTGCTTTTTTATGCAATCTAGCACGATCCTCATCCTCAGTTAAAAAGTTCTGTGGTAACACCTAATGTGAAGGGCATCTCACAATACTGACTAAATGAACAAATAGTCTGATCTAGTAAAAGGGCAGCTTGCTATGATCCTACACTAGAAACACCTAAAAGTTCTCTATAAATAACTGAAGGCTTATTCTAGCCTTTCACTAGAGTTGGGTGGGCTCAAATAGCTTCTGGTTACATACTAGAGTTAGAAGGAGAGTGGAATCTCTCCCTTACCCTAAAATGACTTTTGGAGGAGTTCTGATCATACTCTGTAAACAACTTTGTACACTTCTATTGTCCTTAATGTTAACCCTGCTGGTTGGGACTTGTGGAAGCTGTAATCCAAAACATCTTGGGGGACTTGGTTTGGAAAGGCAACTGGGTAAGTTAAGGAATGGACCTACATTGAAAAGCAGTGCTGCTTGGGTCCCTCCCTGTCAACATGTTGCCCAGACAAATGACATGAATTTGTTCCACTATCTAGTAGAGAAAGGGGGAACCTTATGTATCCCACTAAAGGTAGGGATACAACACCGTCTCCCAACCTTGTGACTTTCAAATTGGCTGGTGTTGATGGGAGCTGAAGTCCAAGGCATCTGGAGGTCATCAGGTTGGGGATACTGTGCAAAAGGACCCTAACCAATATAGAGGGTTGAAATAGCTTGTTGCCCTAGGACTTTGAAGAGCGTGCCTTGCAGCATTTGGAAACTCTCCTCCGCCTTTGTGCTCATCTATACATGGATCCAGTAATACAAATGGTAGCTTGACTGTCTTTGCACTGAAAACAATGTTTTAAATTATTTTGTGCTAGCGTCAAGAAACTGCCTCTCTGTTGTCCATACAGCAGCATATTCAGATCTGTAACAGACTTAGCAGGAGACCCTTTGCTAAAGATCATGGTGTACTTTTTACTATAAACAGTAAATGATTCTGGGGAGCCTTCTGTGACCTTTGCTGTCTGTACAGAAAGGAATATATTTTTAATTCTCTTTGGAAGCTTTTTGGGGGCTGAGAAAATCTGCCAGTAGAACCAAGAAGTTAATTAGTTTGATTTACACAGTTGGAGTATATTTCTCATGCCATTATCTGCAATGTATTTGGTGTCTCCTTATAAGGAACTAGAGTTCAGCATGGGAAAAAGAAAAATACATCTATTTCTGCTGTTCATATGTCCTTGCTTTTTGTTCTGTAAGAAAGAGCCTCTTACAATAGATCCACAATTGAAAATACTATATCTTGTCTTGGAATCCTTTCCAGGAAGGAAGTTCCAAGTAAATAGATGTTGTACATGCTGGTTTTTGTTTATTCTTAGAAATTATTAGCAACATAAACAAATTTAAGCAAAGACCACAGCCAATATAAGGAGTGCAATGGATTTAGTTTCTCAACTAGGAAGTGATCATGCAGAAAACATTGTTTTGAGTAAATCCATCTGTCTTTCATAGGGTGGCATTTAAAAATTTCTGCAGTAGGTCAGCCATCACATATTTATTGTAAGAGTACATTTTTATTATGAGAGGAACATGCTTGATAAATAACCACATCATCTGGTGTCACATGAATTGAAATGTTCTGACTTGACTTGCATGATAATAAACCAGCTTGGAGAGGTCGTTAACTTGCAGAGTAATGTGAAGGGAACCTGCCATCCCTGGATAGATAACAGTGAGGTGCAGTGATAAAAAGCAACAACTTACCATTTGGTAGACTGATGCAGAAGATTGAGATAAGCAGAGAGTTTGCAGTCATAGAGGAAGCCCTCTGTGTGGGTCCAGTTTGGATGTTTCTGTGACTTATGGATAACCAAGCCACTTAATGAGAAAGTGCATAATACGGGGAATTAATTTGTATGGGGTTAGCCGTATGAGGTGAGACTGAGGGAACTGGGTCTTTTCAGCCTGGAGAAGAAGAGACTCTGAAAGAATCTGTTGGTGACATACAGGTATGTGAGGGGATGTCACAGAGGTGGGTAAAGACCTGCTCTCCCCTGCAGAGGAAGGCAGGAGGTGCTCCAGCAGAGCCAAGCTCAATGAACCAAGGTTCAATTTGGATGCCAGAAAGTACTTCCTGATGGTCAGGACCCCAAGGGCTTCCACAGGAAGTGGTTGAGGTCCCATCAATGAGGGTGTTCAAGGATAGGCTAGACATGCACATGGTAGGCATATCGTGAGTGGAGCTGGCTAGAGCTGGGGGTCAGACTAGATGGCCCGGGAGTCCTCTTCTGACTCACTCTGTTTCTGTGTTTCATTGCAAGCCCTTGCCGTAGCCCAAGAATAGCTGAGGGTTCAGGACTGGAAGAGTGAAAAGAAAATGCATCCAAGCAAAAGTCTATCTACACCCCAGATTCAGTGATTATTTCCTCCCTACCCTCTTCCCTGCAGACATCTATCTCACTGACTTTCATTTATTTTTGGACGCAGTTGATTCATCCTTGAAAATGATCTTCAGTTCTTGTTTCCATGGTTGCT